AAAAATCACTCAGGAATGCTCAGCGACAGAGCATTTCTTGCATGCAAGTACCTTCCTTTACAATATTACCAGTCTGCCTTCAGCAAAAAGTTAAAACTACAGGATCAGCAAAAGCACAGATTAAAAGGGGCTTTTTGTTGTTGCTTTTTCTCTTGCCACAGCAAGCCTCACTCCTCTTTCTTTTATCCATCCACCTATCACTCCTCAAAAAGCATGAAACAACAACAAATTTAGTGCATATGGAAAGTGATATTGGAAGGCTCTTGGCCTCAACCATTTGAATCATGTTCTATATTGTACCATATTTCTGCCAAGCTTGGTATCTACTTTGCTCTGTGTGTGCTAGAAATCTAAAATCAGGCTAATAGCTTCAAGGGTTTCTTAAAATATTGCACAGCATGAAGATTTTCTGATATTTTGAATCACTGTTTATTTCCACCCTGTAAAAAAATCATACAAATATCTGGAGTTAAAGTTGACAGAAGAGAAACAGATATTCATTTCTCCAATAGGTACTGATGGATTTCTTTTCGAGTCTGTTTCAGCATTTTTGCATGCTCCTAGACCAAATATTTCAAGCTTTAGGGGCATAACTTACATGCTACCTTCACACTTGATAGTTGGAATAAACAATGATACCAACAAAAAGAACTCAGATTTAGCTGGTTTATGCAACTGAAAAACAATTCAACTGTGAAACTACTTTAAGAGAGCAAAAAACTCTGCTCAGCTGTGATACTTTATCACATACAGAAGCAGAGCATCACCCACTGGAATGCCACTGACCAGCTCCTTCCGTAGTATCCTTGTTTAAGTAGCATCTCTTCCTCTGTGTATTAGGATCAGTGTGCTTTATCAGATTTCATAAACAGCAGATGCACTGATGACCCAACATCAGCATAGGAATAAATAAGATTCAGGATCCTCAGATTTCTCTGTAAACTTTGTCCAGATGCAACTGCAATTTCAATTGCAGTTTCTCTAACTTTCATTTCCAGGACACCAACAATATCATTTCTCTCTCTCTTTCTGCGCTCTCAAATTTTCTTAATATTAATTAATTATTAAATTAAGCCAATCCTTTCGTGGCAAACCCATAATTTTCTTTATCACTTGCTCTCTGATTTAACTAGAATAAACTCTACATTTTCTCATCTTTTTTCCACTTGTTTTACCCCTAATGCTCCCACACATAACTCCCATTAAGTCAGTCCAGTTCCATGTCTCTTGCCACAATACATTTTCGGGTTTTACCCAAAAGACCGAAGTCTTTACCCGAAAGATCAAAGTCTTTACACCAAAGACTGTGTTTCTCTATTTCCTTTCTTCCTATCTTTCTTATCTTAATTTTCAAATTTATAACTTTTCACTCAGTAATGTTTTCTCTATGGCTGGGACATACCCCTACACTTCCTCCTCCCACCACTCTCAAGAAACAGCCCTCAACAGCATCACTCTTCCTTTTGCATCCAGCTGCTTCACCTTATGCTTAAGCTTTAAATAATTTAATCCATGACCCTCAAGAGCCTCTTATTAATATTAACACTTCCAATTCTGTAAGCAGCCCACCATATATCAGAAGTCTGAGCAGAGAATGAATAAAGACTTTGATGTAGTGATGCACAGTTTGAATTTCAAACATAGCATGCAGCTCAGCACATGCTAGGATAACTGCCTCCTCTCTGGTGTAGCATTTCAATGACAACATAGCAATTTTTCTAAAGTTTTGTTTCTCAAAGACGCTTTATATCAAATCAGTCCTAGTTCAGATTAGTCTCTTCCTATCCTGCATTTAGAAGGCAGCCTTTGTTTTGTTTTCAACACTAGAAAAGCCAAACCCTAACCTAAAGACACAGTTTCTTCAATGTAAAGCAACAACTCAACTGTTCACAACAAAGTGTGCCTCAACTGTCTGGAAACATAAGATGTATAGGTCGTCTTCATGGACAGTCGTTAATGTCATCTACTGTTCCAGATAAAAATAACTGAAAGATTACATTTCACTTTCCACCTTTTGCTGGAATCTTGGGGTTCCTTTTGATCTCAAATTATCCATGAAGGATTATCTTATGTGTTCACTACCAATGCATCTCTTATGATCCTAGAAATTTCATGATTTTAATACATGCAATCTAAAATAGAACTTCAAAGATCCATAGCTCTGTGTGGTCGACAGTACTGATTACCACCATTCCGTTCTGGGCTATTAGAGAAACTTTAGGTCTCAAACCCACATGTTCAGCAATGTTAGGACTTAGGCGTTCTAATTTTGTTCTAAAAACTTCCAGTGAGAAGCTAAGAAGTTGATTTTAGACTCTGCACATTAAAATTAAAGCTACAAATGCTTCAGTTTTATGCTTATTTCTAGTTCCTAGCTCAAAAAAAAAAAAAAAATCCTGTTATATAGCTTCAATTTAGCAGCAAACTAGTCTGCAAAATACATTTTTATTCTATTTTCCATAGAGCATATATAGCCTTAATATTTTTAATATGTCATGTTAACATGTAAGCAGTAAGGAAATGCAGCTACAGAGTTCAGGTTCACATAAATCTATAATCACTGACTTATTTAAAATGAACCAGGACATTTATTCACATGTTTCTATTCACAAGTTTCTAGTAGCTCCAGATTAAAAAAACATAAAATGTCACATTTAGTACAAGAGTCCTTAGACCCCACTGCCTTTCATGCTCTGCTTTTCACTCAACTCAAACAGCAGCCATGCATAAAGATTTAACACACCTTTCCCCTTTCCACTAAGTAAATTCATCTCTGAGGACAAATTGTCACATACTGCCAACTGGACAACAGGACTAAAATTTTCTGATTTAAAAACCCTAATCTGGCTATAAAAATTCACTGCAGCAACAGTCACGATAATCACTTATAATAACCAACAGCAATTACAGTTGCCTCCTGCCTACCTGGGCAAAGGCACACATGAAGAATCACACAAAAAGCCTTAATTATTATTGCACAGGCTGCAAAACCCAGTGCAGCAAAACGTGAAACAAAAAAAGGAATACATTTCGTTCCATTAACATCTTAACAGGTCCTGACACGAGTTTTACCAAATGCAAGAAATGCAGGCTCATTTCACAATCTATCTGCCATCACTAATGATTAAAATGTGACAACTTTCAAAATGGGACATACTGCAATCTAAAGCTGACAGAAATAGAAGTTTTAAAAGCTTAGTAAATTTATAAGTGAATCTTATCAATGCATATAAAGTTCCAAGCCAAAGATAAGCAATACAAATAGGGAAACATTTACTGTGATTACAGAGCTTGTTAACAAGTTAAGTATGACATGATCACAGGCAGTTTACAGAGCAAACCCTGGCAGCTGTGGCTTCACCAAAGATCTGTGACTAAAATAAGCCAATGTGCTGAAGAGAATATCCACACCGAATGGCAACCATAAAATGTAACTGCATGGCTTGACAACTCTGTCCAACACCAGGTGAACTGTGTGGTGTTTCAGCCTTAGCTGTCACTGTGTTCATGGCTCTTTCTCAGAATCAGGATACTCAGAGGTGCTGCTATTTAAGCACACCTATTGCCCCTTTCTCTTGGAAAGTCCATCCCAAAGGGGTGATAGTATGTCCAACTAAATATCACTGTCCTTATAACCTCTCTTTCCTGAACGACGAGTCTCTACACAGTTGCTCTTCTGAATTCAAGGAAAACTTCCAAGGTTAAGATTTCCTTGCAGGAGTCAAACTTTGTTCCCATGCATTAGTAGGACTCTGAACACCTATTTAATTGAATTGCAAAAGAAGAATTTGTCATCTTTTCAAATTAGGTTAAAAAACTTCATAAGGAAAAGGAATCCTAAAGGACAGATTATGAGCCATACAAGTCAGGAAGCTATAAAAGTTACAACGGTACTTCAACAATAATGAAGTGAAAAGCAAAAATTAATTTTCTCTCTTCTGAAGTCTGTAAGTTTCCTTCATAAGTCTGTCTGTAAAGAGAGTCTATAAATACAGAACAATCCAAGAAACAATTTCTGCCTAAAAGCAGATTGTTAAGCACCAGAGTTTGAGAGAGAACTATGTAAGGAGTTTGGTAAATGCATAAAAGGACTTTCCAGGATATCTACCTGCTAACACATGTCATGAGATCAAGCTCCTTCCACAAGTTCTGCCCCCACAAAATACTCAGAATTGCGAGTCATCAACAAGGATTGTACAAGGACGGAAGAGAACATATTAATTTTATCACCCCAATCTGTACTATGATACACTGCCTTTGTCTCACCCCTTTTAGTCGTTAATCTTATCATCACCATCAGAGTTCAACTCATGCACGACTCTACTGAGGCCCCAACAAACTCTCTCAGTAGTCTGAACACAATTCTTAAGTTGTTTTCTCTTTTGTAGTTTCTGTGACTATTTATGCAATTCAAACTGTACAAAAACTTTATGTAATTCCTTCAGCAAAGTAAAATTTTTCCTAAAGGAGTATGATCAAGTAATAGAAGCCTTTTATATTTGGAAGAAGTTAATGCACAAAGTATCATTTGGATAAACATTATTTATTTGAAGGAGAGTAAAAGAAATATGACTCAAAATTTAAATTGATACAACCATGTGGTAAAAATGTTTGCATGTACAACAGATGACACAAGTTGGAGAAATTATTAATTACAAAACTGAAGTATATGCTGTTGGATTTCTCATCTGCAAAATAATGATCATTTAAGTACCAGATGAAATAGAAAATTACCATCTTCTTGGGGCTGCAATACACGAAACTTTAATCATAGTACAATGAACCACATTTCAGCCTCTGCTTTACAGCTACTTCTGAAAGACCTCTGATCACAATTTAATCTTAAAGGAGTTTTAGTTAACTAATAATGCATAATTCTTAAAGAAAAATCCTCCAACTATTAAGAAAAATGTAATGAGTCTCAGCATCTATCAGTTTTAAACACATTTCCAATGGATCTTACACGTTTTTATTCTTTATTGAAATAAAGGACTACTTACTTGATTAGCCATGTAGATTGTGAGAAGACCTCTCCTATAAGCAGAAAAGATAAAACAAGTGAATGAATCAAATATTTTCTCAGACTGAAGAAAAACACTTTAATCATTAAGAATATTTTATTAAAGAAGAGAATTTTAAAAACAGATTATTGATGAAGGATGAATCATTACCACCTATTAGAAAAATAAGTGCAAACCCAAAAATAGCATCTTGATAGCACAGTATCCAAAGTAGTGAGGAATTACAGGAACCACGTTATATATAGCAACTGGCTACTCCACATGAGTCCTGAAGCTGCCACAAGGGGCAACGTACCTTGAATTACACACAGCATTTATACAAAGTAAGCCTACACATTAACCAGTAACATAACCATGCAAACAATGACCTAAACCTAACTTAAACTGTGAGTTTACAGCAAAATGCTTGTGTGTTAACTTCTGTTTTATTATTGGTGCTATGTAACTCAAGGCCCTCCTGCCTACAGTATCAGGAAAAATTTTCTGCTGAGACTGATGCACAAATTTTGGCTCAAGCCAGTTGAAAATCACAGTGCCAACAGTGCCCTGGAACAGCAGCCATCATCTTCTCTTCTAACTTTTATCTATTTTTTTTTCCCACTTCTATTTTCTGATCTGTGCCTGTGTCTCAGCTCACACTGCTCTTTAGGAAAAGTATAAATTTGTGCTCAATCTCTCACATTTTTGTTGATTCTATTGCAGCACAAAATGAAAACTGAACTCAACTATGTACATGTGAGCTGCTTCAGCAACCGACTACACTGGAAGTACAGATGAAATTAAAATTATTTTCTATATGTCAGTCACAAGCCACCATCACCCTTGAGAAAGTGGAAGTCATTACCACTGCAGGTTTGCTTTGCCCTCAATTATTCCTCTCTTCTGCAAAGATTCCATTAGAAACTGTGGCCAAAGGTTGCAACACTCAATTTCAGTATTTCCTACTGGACTGGTGTTCTTATCTTCTTGAGTTTACCATCAACCTTGTAGTATTTGGGATTTTTCTCACTGTCCCCACTGGTCTTACACAAAAAAACTGAAAATTTTCGTGAAGGCACCATATGTTCAACTGTTGAAGTTTATTAATATGGAAGTGAGTTTATAACCTGAATCTGTATTTGTCCTCATGTCATTTAGGACTTCTTTTTTATATTGCTACTACAGAAGGTAATATATAACAGAAGGTCTAACCCAGGCTTTTATGTTCCATTTTGTCATGCCTTTTGAAATTTCCAAGCATTCATAGAGTGCTTAAGAGAGTCATTAACAGAACATATCTTGCTATCAGTTCAGTTGAAGTGTACAAAACAAAAGCAGAGAAAGCAGGAAATAAAGAAATCCCTACTACACAGTTTCCAAGCTTGATTAATCCAAAAAGTTTATTCAGTATTTTCTAACCCCCATGTTTACATGTAAATAAATTTGTCAAGTCACGCATCCAGAACAAGGTTTTTCACAGCAGCCATCTAAACTACAGGGATACATTCCAACTAAAAGTTTTACTGCTTCCACATCACACTGAATTTGTGAAAAGCAGTAACACAGCATACTGACTTCCAAAAGTTGCTCTCTACTCACAGAGAACATTCAAATTTGGCTTAAGGTCAAAACTTTAACTAGCCAAATCAGTTTCATGGTTACTTTTTTAAAAAAATAAACATAATTACAAATCTGCTCTCTTCTCTACCCAGTACCACCCTGTGCCAGATACTAGAAACAAGATTCTAGCATAGAAACCTAAAGAAAAAAAGCCTGAATCTAAAGATTTGGTGCGGATGAGGCATATAAGAAAAAAAAAAGACAAAAGGTAGGGAATAGGGTCCATGAATTACGCAAAATAGCCCCTACAACTGGCAATAAAGCATCAAAATACCGTATGAAATTTCTGAAAAGGAAGAGATAAAAATTCACCTGATGCAATAGATAAATTCAACTCTCAGGCTGGTCTGCAAACATTCACCTAGTCTTTCAGTTGACTAGCTCAAGTGATAAAACAGTATTGGTGCCCCAAACCCTCCTGAGTAGCAAACTGCCAGCTAATACAGTTCTGTGTACTGTAAATCTTATTTTAAAATACTGGATATTTCATATTTCTTAGATTTTCTTTTTACCCCTGTAATAGCATTAAAAATTGATGATAAACATCCAAACACTCAGCCATTTGGAAACACAGAAATAAACCTACCCATAAGAGCTAACCTGGTAACTCAATCGACTTTGAGTATTCTGGAAAACGTCAGAACATCAAAAACACCCTGCAGTAACACACCTGTGAGAAGTATCAATCAGCAACTGAGTGACAGATGCAGCTTTCAGAATATACTCTGTGTATGCACAGTTGTAGTATCTACAGTGGACACAAAGCAGGATGATCACTGTTACATGGACGTAACTTACTTAGTGGATTCTCCCTTGCAATCTCTCTGTCATGCAGATGGGGTTTTTTAGCCTTCCACTGAAATTTATTTAGTCTTTTTTGAAACACTAACAAAGTAAGAACTAAATGAGTTTTAGTTTCTATTCTGGTCCCTTTGGGGCTAAAATGCAACTCACCAATCACAAACACAAAGAAAGGAAAAGGGGCTAGAGAAGAGGAAGGAAAGAAATCAGGAGCTGCAGTGCAGCTGCAGCAAGACCAGTGTGAGAAGTAGGTGGCTGGGAGGAGACAAAACGTGCAGACAATAAATTTGTGCAAGGAAGTAACTTCCGGAACTGAAAACACAGTTAAGTTGTTAGATGACGTCATCTCCAATTGCCTGCAACAAGCCTATCTGTGAGGCCCAGGCTAACTCCAAGCAGAAAGAGTTTTCTTCTTCCAAATTAATTCTCTGACTGTGTTAAAAATAAATAGCCCCATGTTTCCAAGGAAAAGGAAAAAAAAGGGGAGGGGGAAGGGACATTCTTCCTGGCCCTGTGCAAATGTGATCCAAGAAGCCTAACCCAAACCTGAACTCTGCTGTTGTAAAGCAGTTGGAAGTTCAGAAACTGTTGCACTATTTTGTAGCAATGACAGCTGACAGAAAACAGGACAGAAAGATGGAGGTAGGCCAAGTAAAAGGGTCACTGGTAAAACCCAAGGACTGTATTAAAACTGCAGCTGGTAAATAGAGGGAGAATATAATTGGGAAATGGTATTAGGAGAGCAGGAAATTATTAAACAATAAAAATAATTAGTCAGCCATGTCTAACCACATTCTTTGGGGAGGTTTAAAGATACTAATAAACAGCTTAGATTTCATTCCCAAAGTCCATGAACCAGTGCTGAACGCTAATCTTGGCAACACCAACATCAGCAGGTGGCTGCAGCAGTGACGGTCTGGCAAGGTCACAACGGGAAAGCCCAAGCAGACACACACAAATTCCTACTGCCCACTCCTCCTCCATGGTTTCTGTCTTAGGCCATTTTCTCCAAAGTCTGCTTTCATAAATATCTTCGTTGTGGCTTCCCACTGACTCCCAGACACTTCTTGACAATCTCTCCCATACCCAGCTTTGTTTCTAATGACATCTGTGATCTTTAACTCAGGAAGGAAAAAACATGAGCTAGGGGTAACCTTAAATTCATAAGCAGCAGGCTAAGGTCCATCCTACCAGTTTCTTGTATTAAATTAAAGAAAAAAAAAAAAAAAAAAAAACTTTGCTGAAAAGGAGTTCACAAGACAGGTCTCCTTCACCTGGAAACGAAGGCTTGCATGAAAGTAATCATGTCTTAATTGCTCTTAAATTCAAGTCTCAAAGAGCAGTAGTGTTTAGTATACTTTTCACTTTGTTTCTCCTCCTTTTTCTTCCTAATTCACACTTTTAAATGCATTTTCTAACATGCTTGTTAGAGAACTGAGTAGGCAAGGTCTCAGAATTTAGTTATACAACACAGGTCACATTATCTACAGTTGAATAATTCCAATCTTGCAGATTCCACATGTAATGTTTAAATTACAACAGACCACAGACTTCTAGAAGATAATTCTCTTGTTCATTTATACCTTCCTCAAAGAAAAGTTTATCTCACTAAAATTTGCTTTTTGGACAACTTGTAACATTCAGACCAAATTATAACAGCAATAGCTCTTAAACTATGGCCTATAAACCTCAACAGAGAACCACATATTTTTGTTATTGCACTGCCCAGAGGAAAGAGTCTAAAATAACCGCTAAAAACCCCAAAAAACTACAGGGTAAAAATAACAAGGAAACCCAGAAGTGTACTGGGCTCTATTACCAGAAGTTTAGGTAGGAGGTCAAGGGAAATGATTAATCCCATTTACTTGGCACTCACTACACCACAGAGTCCCGTGCCTGGTTGAGATCCCCAATAAGAGCAGGCATTGATCAGTTGGCATGGAAGACCAGCAGTACTGCTGGGCAGACTCTGACCTGACCCAAGGAAACAGCACTTTCTCCAGCACAACAGGAGAGCACTGCAACAGGGACTAAGAGGGGCTGTTGGACCTCTGTCCTCAGAGGTTTGCAAGGCTGACCAGACAAATTCTCAAGCAAGCTGGACTGAATTCAGTGCCAGCCCTGCTCCAAGCAGGAAGCTGCACTAGCAGAATTCCCAAGACTTAACTGAACAATGCTATTATTCTATAGAAAAAGGGTGGAAAGCAACTTGAAAATATCATCAATAATTTTTTTCACAGATTATAAAATCAGAAGAGATTACCGTGATAAACAGTATCTTCCTAACGAATACAAAACATTAACTCTTCTTTAACCAATTAGGCATTTACTTAAAAAGGTCAAATTTGTCTTATAAGTATTTCCAATCACTGATATGTTACTTTATGGGTACTTATCTTTACAATTTGCACCCTAAATCAAGAATGTCTGGTCGCTGAAAACAGCTACATCTTTACCTGCCCTGTAACACTACCCTCTCCAACCAAGTCCCCCTCATACCATTTCTTAAACAAGAACTGAACTCCTTCAGTTTTTCCACCATGTTCTCTAAGTTTTTGATCATACTTATAGCCCTTTGCCGAAACTGTCCCAGTTATTCAAAGTTCATATTCA